CCTGGCTTCCTGGCCTTTCGGCTGAATCTTTGGACATCTGCACTTGAGCCTGGGTTATTAGTCTGGGGACTTAGGGGTTTTGGTCTGGGCGTTAGGGGTTTGGGCCCTGGTCACGAGGCATCTGATGCGATGTCATCCCGATGAAGTTGCGGCCATGAGCTACCCAATTGCACATATCACGATGAGTCTGATGTCGTCGGGTTTCCAACTTGCTCTAGCACATGTGTTCGCCATCGAAGGCTTCAGCGCTGATCAGATTTGCTGCGTTCGCAGAGCTCTTCGAAAAATGATTCCGATCTGTCGATCAAGCTCCATTTTAAGGCTTAGGATTTGGTTTTAGGGTTTTTGTAGCGCTGGTTCGACTTTATTGCTAAAGTAATAACATTTAGGGCTCCGCAGGTTTGTAAGGGTCCAGATGATCTAGCGATTTCAGGTTGGTTGAGCTGTGCATTCAGCCCGAGCGTCTCAACCAACAAGGCACACGCAATCCTGAACGACTCTACACCCAAAATGTCCTCGCTGGCTAGGACCTTGGAACATAAGTCCCTAAACCTTACAAGCCCTAAACCCCAGCCCGTGTTCGCGAGCATGAGCTGCGAGCGAGGCGCGGCGTGGGCATGAGGTTTTTAGGGGTATTCAGGTAGTCATACTGCGAAACTCCCAAAAGTACTTAAAAGTACAGTGCCAGACGAATCCCCTTGAGTTTCGAACCAAAGCCGGAACTTGCCTCAAGCCCAGCACGTAATAACCCCCAACCCCCAACCTGGATTTACAGTCCCACTGGGTATTACAAACAAATTAGTGTCCGTACCTCACGATAATGATTCCTTTAGCTGTCTAGTCTAGCCTCCTGAACCCCACCCCTGCCTTTGTAGCTTCTGGCTGAACCCCAAAACTTGAAGCCCTAAACCAAAACTGCTTTCAAGCCTTTAAACCGCCACGTGCCGATGTTGCACATGGGGTGCGACCCCTGGCAATGCTGATTATGAAGTGATTAACTTCAATGGACTAGAATGGTTCCTACTCCAGCGTTGGTTATTGGATTGGGCCCCTTCGGCCCGGAACCACCTCCAATCCAGGCCCTGGGCCCAGGGACCTAACTATTAGGTCCTTGGGACTCGTTGGGTTATGTACAAGAACACCCTGTCCTCGGAAGCAGTCGGCAACCACAGCGCGAACCTGGTCGATGGCGGCCGGGAGCAGTGCAATTCTGGAAGGCCGCGGTGTCTGAGAGCTAGAAGGGATAACCGACGTGCGGTCGGCGACCGCCTGTGCTGCTCTTGCTGGGTTGGCCAGGGCTGCCTCTTGGACGTAGCGACAAATCGCGGCACTGCCCCAACGACCGATAAGCATAATGACATGTAGGTCGAGGTCTGCCCGAGCAAACAATTGGGCACCAGCGACCCGGAATGCATGCTGGGCCCACCGCTGCAAGACCTGCCTCGGCCAATCTCTGAGGTCACCTTGGCACAGGACCCATGCGAACACTCTCGCCAACCAAACCACTGTGACTTAGTCGTGGGGCCCTCCCCGTCTCCACAGAACGGTGCCTTAGGCTCCCAGCGACCAGCCTTGCGAAGCCGGATTGCACAACGCAGTGCTGCGTGGTAAGGGCACAGTGGGTGGCGCCCCAGCGAACATGAGCACTGCTGCAAAGGCGTGAACAACATGGCCTCATCGCCTGACCTATTGCAGCCTGGGTCGTGCTGTCGCGACCATATGCACGCGTGTGTCCTCGTACACCCGCGGGCCGAGGCATCATTCTTCGATACCGGCAGCGACAGTTTGACCAGACCTTCTTTCGAGAAGCTAACGTCTTCGCACACGACGAAAGAGATCTCCAGGCCCCGGAGAAGGAACCAAGCCGACACGATACCTGTGTCGGCCGGAGCTTCAATCCTCGAACCGGTTGGCACCTGCAGGGACACGTATGCCCCTCTCTCTGACGCGAACTTACGGTCTTAGGTTTAGGTAACAACTCTCTGGGGCAGCGGCAGCAGGCGAACAGACTATGTCCTGTTCGGGTTCGAACGCCTGGCCTCAGCGTGGCAGAAGCCACAAAAGTGGTGCTCGTGCACCCGCCTGTAGCCCGAGCGATTTACGCGCGGACAGGCTCTCATCCAGCACGAAGGGCAGCGAACATTACAAACGCTAGACACATCTGTAAAAGGAGGGGGTTCGTCACGGAAGGTGACGCCCGACTCCACATCACGCTGCGGCCATGGCGCCGGCAAACCAATCGGCGCATACTGTGGCGCATTGATCGGGCCGGGCGGACCTTGCGCCAACGGGTCCTGAAGGTTGGGCCGGTCGACCGCGGCACGTCCTCGCTGCGACCTTTGGCCCCGCGAACCTGACGGGAAAGAGCTTTGGGGCGGGGGTGCTCCGTCACTAGGTCCTGGCGTCGGGCCCGAGGGCGAACTGGTAGAACTCGCCGTGGTTGAGGTCGGGGCCTGTGCTGGCGTCGCTGCCTTGGCCGGTTCAGGCGCGACCTGTGGCTGACCTGGCGGTGGCTGCTGCGGCATCGGCTTGCTCGGCGGCGACCGTGTAGGGCTCTTCGAAGGCGGCGGCAACGGTGGCTCGTCCTGAAGGTCGTCGTCCATGGTGTTGAGGTCGATCACAGCGACCTGGGAGGCGTCCACCATCGGCCCCGGAGCGACCGCTGCTGCCTGTGCCGCGCGCAGCATGCCGATTGCATCCTCGCCCGTCTGGGGTGCCACCGTGCCGGCGAACATGGCCGCGACCTGTGTGGGAGTCGCCTTCACTGGGACCTGGGCCGCTTTGGCTGGCGGAGAAGCCGGCTTAGGGTGGCCTCCGCGACCTTTGCCCTTCTTGCTCAAGGGAAGTGGGTCGGCCTTTGCTGTCACGACCAGTGGTGGCGGGTCGGCCTTCACGAAGGCCTTGGCTGCCGCGGACATGTCCTTAGGCACGACCAACAGCGGCGGAGGTCCTGTAGTCGGGTCCTTGGCCGGAGGCGAACCGGGCTTCACGGCAGCTGCCGTACGGGCGACCCCTTCCGTAGGTGCGGCAGGTGCCACAGCAGGGCCAGGCGCACCACCAGTTGTAGAACTCGCCGAAGTCGAACTAGGCTCCCTGGGAGCGACCACTGTGGTCGGTGCGGCACCTGAGGCGTCGGCCTGGACCACTACCGGCACTGCGGCTGCAGTCGTAGCAGAAGCGACCTCTGCGTCGGCCTCGTCCAGGCTGTGTTCCACTTGCTCGTTGATGGCGAGCTGCACCACTCTGCGCAGGCGAACCAAGTCGTCGAGGTCAAACCTCTGCATAAGGGGACGCCTTTCCTCATCGGTCGAGTGAACGACCGTGAAGAGCGCCGCCCAAAGGTCCACCTGCGAACTCGTGGTGGAATCGCCCCATGAGCCAGCCATGGCGAAGTACTTCCGAAAAAGCGAAAAAGGCTAGCTCGCTCGTACTTTCCTCGGGCCTTCGTACTGCGAACCAGCGAAAGCTCTTCTCTCGGAAAGTTCTCGCTACGCTTGTCACTACGAACACACGTGTTCTGCACACCAACCCGGAGGGTATGGGCCATGCCCATAGTCATCTTAGCCCATCTCCATCACTTCCAAATGTGGGCTTTGACGCCCGAGGCTCAGGGTCGGGGTCTCACGTTGGGATGCGCCACTCCAAACTCATATATGACCCATATGACGGACAAATGTCTTGATCATCGGCAAGGTGAGACAGCTGATCAGGTAATGGTGGTAGGTACAGTAACTAGTCAGGGCATGTTGCTAGGCTGGGCGCATCAAGCGTGCGAAGTGTTTGTCTGAGCCTTGGTTGTTACCGCACGCAGTGATTGCACCATTCTCGGGCAAAGGCATGCGAAAGCGCCGTGGCTTGTTTTTGGCCTGAAGAGCCCCCATTCCGGTCCAACCAGGTGTGGAAGGTCCCGCATATCTGTCTGAGAAATTTCATAAAAAGGATCAAGATGTGCCAGAAGGGAAGTAGATCTCGCCAATGCGGCTTGAAATCTTTTTCCCGTGACCCGGAAAGGCTTCTCTGATTTTATTCTTTGGCAGTGCTGCCCTTTTTCAAGCAGCATTTTCGTGATACACTGCAATGCATTAGGTATCTCATCGCGATTGTTGTGGGCTTGCAACACCTGATTCACCGATGCTTACGGCTGACCTTTTCTGAGAAATGATGGCAAATCAGATTACCTATCATGCGTACACCGCATGTATGGATGGCTTTATGCGCAAGCACTTCAGATTGACTGAGTGGTCAATGAGTGGTGAAGGGAAATAGCGATTTCTGACTGTAGTACTATGGAATCCGACAGGTTCCATTTAGGCACAAAGTATGGGTAAAGCTGAACCTCAGGAAAATGTGGAATATGTTTTGCGGATTCCTCTCAGGCAGGCATCAGATTGGGCTTCGCACCTTTCTAGGAAAGCGTATGCCGCCACCCCAACATATTCGCTGTTAACAACAACTGGCGCCGTAAACCCTCCCACAGAGATGAAGAGAGTGAGAGCTTGCAACCAGGGCTACTGCCTGCGGATACTCCAAAGGTGAAAAGCAAATCAACATCTGCTGGCGACCCTCCCCAGGCAGTCAACTGCGATGCCTGCATGGGCCGTCTCCACTCAATACTGAGGGTGGGGGCATCGTGCAGCACAAGATGTTGCATCGCATTAGGCAGTGGTTGTGCATCGTTCACAGGGGACTAGCAGGGGCAGACTTCTCCGAGCTAGCAAGGGTTGACATATAGTGCGGTCACGCATCATGGCCATCCACGCTGAAAGCAGTTGCGCCACCCAGATTTAAATCGTTGGCCGTGTGCAGCGGACTTCGGGCGGCAAGTCAGCGGTGCATACAAGAGCGTGATTCGCATGATTTATAGTATCTCCTAACGGGCACCCCATATATACACTCATCAATATTCGTAAGGAACACTACATACACTCATAGTACTACCTCATATCTTAAACCAGAACATGGACCTCAAGTCCGAAGCGGACGCGCAAGACTGATGCGGCCTCATCCACCTCCGGGTCTTCATCGAACTCTGAAGACGGGGGTTGGAGCTGTAAGCTGCCTGTTCACGCGCAGCTGAGTTCATCACCGAGGGTTGTGAACGCAAGTCCGGGTTTTGGGGTTCATGATACTGCTAGCCCATGCTTGAATCGACAATCGGGGTGTTTTATGGTGTTGTTTGTTCCGTTGGTTTTTGTGTCGCGCCTGGCTTCGGCTGCACGTGAACGCGCGCTTCTGCTGAGAGGTCATCTCGCGCTAAGCCAGGCTGGCTGCTGGAATCCATCTCCTTTGCAAGCCCACACCACTTCTCTACTTTGGCAACATGTGTCAAGATACCGCATGTACGTGGCCGGCGGCCGTCTTCAGCACTTGCGGCGTGCTCAGAAAGTTGTAAAGTTGACCACCTGATGACCCTGCACACTGGCGCAAATTGGATGTCCACTCCGGCCTGCTGTTCAAGGGCGGCCAGGATCTGGTCCAGCATGTCGCTAAGGTCAGTGGCTTCGTAGGCAAAGTCTTCGCGCATGTAATGGCTGAGGTCCACCTGACCAGGATGCTTGTTCACGCTCCTGGCTTGTTACAGTTTGTCGACTGTTTGTCTCAAGAGTTTCGATTCAAACGCAGGATGGGAGAAACATCGAGGGAACCGCGGTAATAGGACCCTGGCCTGAGAGAAGGCAACCTCGTCCGTCGCGCAGCGATTCACGACCTGAGCCCTCTCCGCGCAGGCCCGGATCAGCAGATCCCGTGAACGCACAACGGCCTCCCCAAGGATTCCGGGTTGCGGGGCGTAGGGTTTTGGATTCAGGGAAACGGCAATACGGACGGTGGTGAAGTTTGGATATCATTGCCTTCCGGAGGAAGGCATCAGGCTCCTCGACAGCACGCTGCAGCACTGCCAGCCGGACGTCCAAAGTGCCACACTGCCTCAAGGATTCCACACCAAGGAGCGAGGCAAACGGAACCTTTGACCTCTACATCCTGAACCTTTGCTATAGAACGGAATGGCTCCCCTACGAGGTCGTTGAGGTGTTGGAAGGTTCCCTATCTAGCATCCGGCAAGATGCTCAAGGTCTGCCCAAGACAGCGACAGGCCGTTCTTGTGCAAGGCCACCTCTACCGCCTCGCGAAGAGTCTGCAGCAGCTTGGCGCGCTTGCGGCGCCGTCTCCCGGCCTGGCTCTTCGGTTTCTGTCATGCGGGGGTTGCCGAAAATAGGGGACCCTACTATAATACCCTAAATGGTAGGATCCTGTTTCTTAGGACCCCTAAATCAGGTTCCCCCTACTGTTCGGCAACTCCCATGTGAGGGGTTTAGGGCCGGAGTTTGACCAAGTTTAACACACCCTGGCCTCATTGAAGGAAAGCCCCCAGCGGGCCGCCACAGGCACAAGAACGTATACTGCGAGTGAACAGGTTCCCAGGCCAGCGACCATCACCAGGAGAGGAAGGCACATGTTGTACAAGCCCAGCGCTATACGAGGAGCCGCCGGATGGTCGGACAGATCCTCTGACAAGGTGTTGCCGAGGTCATGTAGCTCTTCTTACGTCAAAGACGTAGACTTGATGAATCTCAGTTTCTCGTGACAGCATGAAACCCTAAATCGATCCTGCGCTATGCATTGCGCGGCGAGGTCGACGGACACCACCGCAGGAGTCAGAGTCGACAGGGCAAACAGATCCCGCATTGCCGCTGTCACCTGCATTCTAAACCGTTAGATTGCGCCAAAGTCAAAATTCATCGCGCGCGCCTCGGGTGGCCATCCGAATCTTGCAGGCTCTTCCATGGCCTGACTGTCGGTTCCCTGCTGCCAAGGGAACATCACCTGGGTGCGGAATCCAAGGAATTTTAATTCTGTGCGCAGTCTCTTTAGGCTTTGGAACAGCCGTCACCTGGATCTGGTCCAGCTCAAAGGTAGCAATGACTGAACAGGCAGATACAAACTGGACCACAATGCGGATCATGATCGTGTGCCTGGGCTGCGAGGAAGAGTTTACACTTCTTCTGGCTCTTGTTCTCCTTACCCGGTCTCCCATCCGTGTGCTAAATTCCCGGTGTACTCATGCCTGCATGGTGGCACCGGATGTGTGTGGCGGACAGGGGCGACTCACGGCGGAAGAAGACTGGAGGAGAGATTTCCAAGAAGCTTCAACACAACTGTCTCCCCAAAACCTACAGTTTCCAAAGGTGCTCGGTGCCCAGCATGAATATACCTTGCACCCATCGGGAAAGAAAAAGCAACAGCAGGCCAGGGGCAGGCACCTGAGGGCAAAGCGAGCATTATTTCCCTATGCTCGTGGACTGAAGCTCAAGAAGTTCTTGACAAGAACTGTAAGGTCAGCTTCTTGAAAGACTCGGAAGAGATGCAAGATCGGCATGGGTAAATGTTTCCACCTGACCTCAGGAAACCCTGATCCCCGAAGAGCGCGCCCAATACTCAAAGGGCCCGAAGCCTAAGCCCATTTCAAGAGTGCAAGGCATTGCAAAACCATGCTCTGTATCTCGCTGGTGCAGTTTGCTGCTGGCTCGGGCAGCAGCGGTGGCTGCCATTGATGCGACAACGAAATTGATTATGATCTTGCTTCCGACATCCTCGGCTGCTGCCAATGATTGGGGCTGCTCTGTGCACAGACGATTTGTGAAGTGCACTCGATGCCTTCTAGCGAGTCTAGCTTGTCATGTTCCATGCTGGAACTCCACCACGTGCACCCGACTTGGCGAACTGGTTGCCTGTATTTCATTATGAATACTACCACAGTGTCATTATGAATCTCGTATCATACGATTACATTTTCATATTTTATATCAGTCTGACAATGTTGTCGTATCTGCAGCTTCGGCTGCAATCTCCTGTGCTTGGGTCCTAGGTTATGGGCTGCTTACAGATTCTTCGCGCGCGTCTGTTCCTAGCTGTCTTGTCAGTTTTGAAGTAATTACTTGGCCTGGTTGGGGGTTGCGGTGTCTAAGCTTCTAATGGGCTTCTTGTATATACTGCAGAGTGCACATATGCCATATGCTTCACTGCGCACCACTCGTCTCTAGCTCGTTGGCGAGGCCCTGCTTCAAACTTCACTATTTGCAACCAGGCATCTGCCAGGATGGAAGCCACCAGCTGCAAGACGGCCTATCAAAGGGTAGGGCAACATTCAAGGTTGAAGGCCAAACGCGAGGCGGATGACGCCCCACCTATGAGAAGCCCCAAGCTAAACTCAATAGCCCGGCGCCTCCTTGCATAGCCGGCATGGAGCACGGAAGCTTGGCCTAGACCATCCTGGTCAGGGCTTAGGCATGTTTGCAGGTTTAATGAACATTGTAGGAGGGCCCGACGGGCTTCTGAAGGCTGGATTCTGGTGGAAGAGGCGGGGCTTAAGGAAGGCCTGTCGGACATTCACCGCAAAGATTACCGGTAGAGCCTTCCGCACAAGCCTTGGTCTGCAAGGCGGTGTAGCGTTTTGGGTAGGTCCTTCAGCCTAAAGCTGAAGCAGATTTATTTGGAGGTTTGCTTACAGTCTTGCCGTTTGTGTCGGAACGTTCATGTTCGGAGCCTTGCACTGTATTTTCACGGGTTGTGGGATCCGATTGCTGCACGAGTTCACAACCATCGAACAAAAAGCTGCTCAGAAACTAGGACAAGAGACATTGCCGTACTTCCCTATGCAGTTTCCATCTTCGCCACTTTGCTGACAGCGGTCGCTGCCCAGACATACGCTGATGCCGCCGTCCAAAACGACAGTACCTCTGAAACAAGTACAAGAACAAGGACTTGTTCTTGCAAAACGAGACAGGACAGTGCTCTGCGCGGTTCAGAACGCATGAACGTGCTTGGAGAAGCAGCCAGCAGCTCGCAACATTGCATGCAAATGCATACGTCACCTGCACATCAAGCCCCACGGCGTTCGTCTGCAACCAAGCTGCATTTGACCACGGAGGTTCTGCCTGAAATGTTCAAGTTCTGGCAACAGAAGCTGTCAGATAACACCTCACCCTGTTTGCAGTCAAAGCGCTCGTCTGGAAGTAGCCCGGGATCGCAACGGGCAATTGGTGTGAGCTGGTCTGGTCTCTAAACCCGCCAGGACATTGCAAGGCGGTGAACCTTAATGTTTTGCAGGAAAAGACACTATTTCTGGGCTCCACTTACTGCATGGGAAACAATCCAACTTCTGTCTTCCGCAGTGAGGGACGCGGCGCAGCTGGCGCACCGTGCAAGAAACCCAGCAGAATCAAGCTCGGCATAGAAGCCTGGGCTTGTTCCCGGAGAAAGACTAAGACAATGCCATTCCAGCGTTTGAATTGCAAAAAATGCTCCTCTAAAAATGCCAGGAAGCCCGAAAGGCAGGAGCAATCGGACAGGCTCCTGGAGCCTCTCGCACTCTCGCCACTTGTGGGGCACTGGCCGGGGCAAAGTGCTTGGTTGCCCTCGGTGGGTTTGTATCGGCCCGGTTGGCACAGCTCACAAGCAAAATCCTTCCGGTAATAGCCCTCTTTACAGATGCAGCCATCGGGTGACCTCGTCCCAGGCGTCGAGTTAGAGCCTGATTGGCATGCAGTAACCTCTCCGGCATCGCAGAAGAAGCCCGGAGGACATTCGGTGCAGCCAGTGCCGTTGGCGGCCAGCCCCGAGCGGCACAAGCAATCTAAGGCTGATATGGAAGCTTCAGTCAAGGTGGTCTTGTCTGCTGAACAGCTGGAACACAAGGTATCACCCGCCACAGCCTTGTAGGACCCTTTAGGGCAGGGTTCACACACCGCAAGGTCTCCATTGAAGCCGAATCCCGGACCGCACTGGCAGATAGCAGGATTGTCAGGCTGTGTGTTCACAAAGTTCGGCAGGCATGTACATGAAGCCAATGAGGTGGCCCCTGCCTGCGATGTTGATCCATAGGGGCATGCGAGACATGAATCAGAATTGCGATAATAGCCACGAACACATTCGCACTGTAAGATGTCACCTCAGCATGCAGCCAACACACGCATTGGTCACATCTGGCAACCGCACCAAAACAAACAACATTGGCCTGAGGAGCCAACTGGAGCCGGGCGCTGCGGTGCTGGCAAATGGGCATCGGTAGCTCTGCTGGTCTCCGGGGCAGAAGTGATCTTGCGGGCATTGCATGCAAACATCCTCTGATTTATGGAAGCCTTGTGGGCATACCAAGTGCAGCTGTAAGGCTGGGACCCGGAAGTCCCTGGCCTCTCTGCAATCTGATGGGCACCAACACAAAAGAACCAGTTCGGGCAAGCCCGTCATCTCCACGTCTCCGACATCCACTGTGAAACCGGAGCCCTCTGGCAACAAAGCAATGGACCGCTCCCCAAGGCTTGTCAGGTCCGTCGAGCCGCAGCGGCGCAGCGGGTGTAGAGAATCATTGGCGGACAGCCCGACACCTCTCCAAGAAGGTATTTGGCATCTGCCTCCAAGAGGGCATTCTGCATGCTGGTCCGGATAAGGCCCTTCTACGATGAGCGAACCAACGGCAAAGTCAAAGTCAGAAGAGGTACTGCATGCCCCACCCGACTGCGACTGGTCCAGCCTGCAAAGGCATATCTGATAGCTTCCAGCTTCTAGCCACATGCTCGATTGGTTGTCCTGTTGAATGAAAACCTGCCCATCCGAAGTTTCACGAAATGAGGCCAGCGCTGAACCCGGCACCGAGCATGAGCTCCGAATGGTCAAAGTGGCTGTTTCCATGCCTGAGCCTGAACTTGCGTTTGTTTGGCAAGCTTCCCCGATGCGACAGTTAACAAGAAGCAGTGGCAGCTCAACAGGTGACGTGACATATCGCCAGAGGTCATCCAAATAGGAGCTGTTGAAGCCGCCAAAAGCCAGAAGAGCGTGGGTGCTGCTGTCCCAGACAACGCTCGGATCCCTACGGCCAGAGGGACCAGATCTGTTCGCCTCGGTCCAAGTGTTCGCCAGGAAGTTGTAGAAATGAAGCACGGGGTCATAGCTCAATGTACCGTTCGAATCTTCCACCCCACCAAAGACGAGCATTGACATGGAGGCCTCATCCCAAACGGCAGCATGCCCGGCCCTGGGCCAAGGACTTCTCACGGGTTCAAGCTCCTTCCAGGTGTTGGACCACCAGTTGTAAAGCTGGAGATCTTGGAGGTACTCCGTACCGGTCCATCCACCACAGACCAGCAAGGATGCTGTGACTGGCTCCCAGACAGCAGCATGGCCACTACGTGCCAGAGGACCTGCGGCCAATGAGGACCATGTGTTGCGACGCATGTCATAATGGCTAAGGTCGCCCAAAGGCAGGGAATTGTGGCCCCCAAAAACCACCATGCCCTGGCGCTTCGCATCCCAAACTGCTGAATGCTTGGCCCGCGGTGCTGGCAGCAGCACGGATGAGAGCTGCCGCCAGGAAGTCGAACTGATCAAGAACTGCCACAGCTCGTTGTAGAAGTTTCCCAAGTGGCCCCCGGCAAACATCAGCATAGATTTGGAGTGTGCATCGAACACGGCTGAATGGCCAGACCGGGTGCTTGGTACTGGGCCCTGCGGGTGCAACTGAGTCCAGCGACGGAGCGGCCAGCGGTATTCCCACAAGTCACTGAAGTGCAAGAACTGGCTGCTTGCATGCCCCCCAAGCAGCAAAGCCGACTGAGACTCGGAGTCCCATGCCGTTGTATGATCCTGGCGACCTGAAGGACCTGGGGCAGTGAAGCTGCTCCATGCATCCAGCTCGCACCGAACACCTGCAAAAAGAGTCAATTGACACGTGCTTGAGTTTACACAAACATACAGCGGATTTTCAAACCAAACCTGCCTGCTGCTTCTCTTGAAGTGCAGTCGTGGATGCTCCAGCCTCTGAATGTGCAGTCGCGCAGAGTCACCTCGCCGTCACTGCACTTCATTCCATCGGCAAGGATGGGTGCACTTCCAGCATCAAACGCAAGGGGCGTCCCCCCTGCCATGCCTAAGTCCCTGCAGGCCGCTTCAGCAGCTGCTTTGCTCTGGAGCCAGGCATCATCACAAATTAGGCCCCATGTCCCATTCTGCGACAGCTCCAACCAACCCTGGCGCTCATCCCCTCCCATGAGACGAAAAGCATCCACCTGTTCTCGAAGGGTCGGCCTGAACAAATCTGCAGCCACCAGATTGCTGCCCATTTCATTCGCACCATCACCAACATTGTCGCCGCTACCGGTGCCAAGTGCGCCACGCGGCGCAGATCGTCCCCAGCACCTAGTGCTATCATCGTCGAATAGAGCACATGTGTGCCAGGCACCAGCACCTACCTGCAACACTCTAAGACTGCCGATGTTGATGGGACGCAAATTGTCGCCCATCTCGTTTGGTTCGTCTCCCACAGAATCTGTGGAACCTTGACCCAGAGTTCCATATGCGCCGCTCCCCCAGCATTTGAGCGAGGCATCTTGCAGAATGGCACAGGAGTGGTCAAAGCTCACACTTACACGTTCAGCAAACATGCCGGTGCCAAGTGGAACGTGCGGCATGTTAGCCCCCATCTCGCTGCTGTTCTGACCGAAGGCCTGAGTGCTGCCAAGACCAAGCTGCCCATTCCAGTTGGCACCCCAACACACTGCGGCGCCGCCCTCTAGAACTGCGCAGGTGTGTCCTCCTGCAGCTGCTATGTATGTAGCTTTGCTTCCTAGTTCCACTGGTGCAAGGGAGGTGCCCATAGTTCCAGGCTGGTCCCCAATGTTGCCTGCACTTCCTCCCAGCTGGCCGTACTCATTGCCACCCCAGCACTTGACTTCACCATCACTAGACAGAGCGCACGTGTGAAATATCCCACCGGTAAGCTGGATGACAGTAAAGTTTGCACCTAAGTCGATCGCCGGGAGGTTGTCTCCCATGTCGGAATCTCCGCCCCGGCCTCGAGTCTGCGAATCACCCAGGCCTAATTGGCCGTTGTCATTCCATCCCCAGCACTTCACATCTCCGTTCTGCAGTAGAGCACACTTGTGCTGGTAGCCGTTGGACACCTGCGACACTTTCACCCCGGTGCCCAAATCCACAAGAGAAGGCCAGGCGCTCTGAGATCCCCAGCATTTCAAAGCTCCATCAGCAAGGACCGCGCAACAATCAAAGTTGTCACAAGTCACCTGCTCAACTCTCTGGCCTAGGTCCACGATCGGCAGGTTCACTCCCATTTCATCTGGATCGTCCCCCACCCCGTCAGATGTTGAAAGACCAAGGCCCAAGTACGAAGATAGGCCCCAACATTTGAGCTGGCCTGTGGAGGACAGCACCGCGCAGTTGTGGTTTCCTCCAACTGCCAGGGTGAGGTAGCTTCTACTTGCAGGGGCTTTGCTGAGCATGATACTCGCAAGATAAAATGCGCTAGCAGAAGCTGTGCTTGTAGGCCACTCAGAAGTTCGGAAACGAAATTGCCGCGCTTGCTCCGGAATGGACAGCTTCGCTTCGTTCCACTGGTCGCCCTGTGGGCCGGTCCGTGACCACAGCCTCCACCAGCGGCCACGCATCAAGAACTCCAAGGTCAAAGTTCCCGGATGCCCACTCGTGCCATACCAGAACTCTACATAACTTGGCCCCTGCACAAGGAAGGGCCGGCTTGTCAGCTTGGCCTGATGCGCAACAAACATCTCGCACAAGCACTCACAACCTGAGATGCACGCTGTGAAGTTGAGCGCCGGACCTGCCCAACATCTTCATGGTGAAGGTAGAACACATAGTCGTTGCTGTCCCGGCGCCACGTGCCTGTTGTCCACCCACACAAATCGGCACCGGTAAATCTGCAGCTGATGTTCTCCATCTCAGGAACCATGTCTAGGGCATACAATGAGTCTACGAAGACACTATCCTCAGCCATGGCGGTTGTAGCCGTGATTCGCAGGGCAGTCGACCCTTGTGGGATGTCGATAGCCGCATGCTGCCATCTATGCCCTTGGTGGCCCGCCTGTACAAACAACCTGGTCCATGTGCTGTTTTCAAGCTTGTGCTGCAGTTCCAGCTTTGCGCCCTCCGATCCAATGATTCGGTATGCCAGGGTGAAGGCAACTGTATTATTGGAGGTCAGAATTACCGGGCTCTCGAGAACGAATATGCCAGGTTGGGATGTGCCGCCTGCTTCCAGATGCCAATCTCCATCATTGGCCAGAGACTGGCCGGCGGCATCTCTTCCAGAAACTCTCTGCCAGCTGCCGATCTCCCAACTGCACGCATCCAGCTCAAAGTCACACGATAATGCTTCAGACTCCGCGGGACCCACGCTAAATTCGTCAAGCGCCATGTCCCCCGCAAAATCGTGAGCACCCATCGTGCCGACGAAGCGCACTGCCTCTGCGTGTTGCGGCAAACGGACCGAAGCACGGCGCCAGTCCTGTCCCTGATTGCCAGATCTATGCCAGAGAGCCTTCCAACTTGTGTTGTCCGCATACTGCAGCTCGAGGCTCTCCACGTCAGATCCAAACATGTGGAATGCAAAGTTCATTTGAACCTCATCTTCATCTCCGAGGCTGAAGGACGGACTCTCCAGCGCGAACTCCCCCCCCTGACATGTTCAATGAAGTCAAAGCATGGGTCAGGACTGGGCCAAAAGTTACAAAAAGCGAGCCATATACACTAGATTCACTAGATTAGCCAGGCCTGATGCTCATCGGTCGAAGAAAACAGCATGTACCCAGTGCCCTTCCAAGGGCCCGAAGGGCCAGAATGTTGATTTAGGAGTTCAAAGCCGGATCTGAGCTTCCAAGCCTCCAGACACAGTGCATTTCAACTGGAATGTTGCCGCTGGTTTCTTTGAAACCCGAGCCTGGGCATCAGATGCAGTCCACCCGCAAGTGTCTGCCTCGAAGCTGCAGGTCAGAATGTCGTAGGAGGGGGAGATGACGGATGTCGAGATGGCATCCAGGGATATGCCCCCAGAAGAGCTAGCTGGCGAGGCGACAATGCGCAAGGCCGCTGCGTTCTCGGGAACAATCGCCATGCCAAAGCGCCACTGCAAAGCCCCATGACCAGATCGCTGCCAAATCTGCAACCAGCCAGCTTGCAGATCCCAAGCCTGCAGAGACAGAGTGCCTTCGGATCCAGTGTCACCATCAATGTGGTAGGCGAAGTGGATCTGCCTGGGGCTCGAGCTCACGTCGAACCACGGGCTGGTCAAGAGGAAATCCTGGCATCGTCTACAGCTCTGTGCCGCGCTTGCTAAATCCCATGCCGCTACACTCTCTGACAGGTCCCTCTGCGAAGGGAGTTCCATGCAAGTTGTGTGCATGTTGCGCTTAAAACAACCCCCGAAGGCCTTGTTTGATTGGCTGCCATCTGCCACCTGCGCAAACCAGTCTCCCCGGAAAGCGTTGTCCGGCCCAGCGCCTGAAGATGTGGACGCATCGTGCCGAGACCAAAGGGATGGGCTCTTGGTGGACCACAAGCAAAAGTCTGTCTCGAAGCTGCAACTCACGTTTTCCAGGCTGGCAGCGACTGCAAATACGGCAAGGGAGTCCACTTGGACGAGATCCTGTGGTGTGGGCACAGCCGCCAACAGACGTAGCGCTTCTGTCCCCAGTGGGACCTCCACCACCACTCGCCGCCATAGCTGACTCGAGCTCTCCACTAGCATGGCTAGGCTTGTCCAGTTGGATGCCACCGTCTTGTGCTGCACCTCCAGCCTTGCACCAGACCCGCCGATCCAGAAGGAAAGAACCAGGTTTGTCTCGACGGCAGTGGCGACGAACTTGAAGCTCTCCAGAATCGAGGTATTGGAAGTATCACTTGTAGCCACTGCTTGGAGAAAGTGGCTGTCGGAGGTAGTTGTGATGTTTCCATACTGCCAGCTGAAGTCATTGATAGCCCAAAGGCAAGTCTCAAGCTGGAATTCGCATGAGAGTGCTTCGATTTGGACAGCGGCATGCCCAATTCCATCCACAGCCACAGCACCAGCTTGGCCAGTTGTATGGAAGCGCAAGGCTTGCGCTTGCTGGGGCAAGGAAACTGCCGCCTGCCGCCAGCTAAGGCTGAGGCCTGGTAGCCCTGACCACAGAGTCGTCCAGCCAGCTTGCAGATCCCAAGCCTGCAGAGACAGAGTGCCTTCGGATCCAGTGTCACCATCAATGTGGTAGGCGAAGTGGATCTGCCTGGGGCTCGAGCTCACGTCGAACCACGGGCTGGTCAAGAGGAAATCCTGGCATCGTCTACAGCTCTGTGCCGCGCTTGCTAAATCCCATGCCGCTACACTCTCTGACAGGTCCCTCTGCGAAGGGAGTTCCATGCAAGTTGTGTGCATGTTGCGCTTAAAACAACCCCCGAAGGCCTTGTTTGATTGGTTGCCATCTGCCACCTGCGCAAACCAGTCTCCCCGGAAAGCGTTGTCCGGCCCAGTGCCTGAAGATGTGGACCCATCGTGCCGAGACCAAAGGGATGGGCTCTTGGTGGACCACAAGCAAAAGTCTGTCTCGAAGCTGCAACTCACGTTTTCCAGGCTGGCAGCGACTGCAAATACGGCAAGGGAGTCCACTTGGACGAGATCCTGTGGTGTGGGCACAGCCGCCAACAGACGTAGCGCTTCTGTCCCCAGTGGGACCTCCACCACCACTCGCCGCCATAGCTGACTCGAGCTCTCCACTAGCATGGCTAGGCTTGTCCAGTTGGATGCCACCGTCTTGTGCTGCACCTCCAGCCTTGCACCAGACCCGCCGATCCAGAAGGAAAGAACCAGGTTTGTCTCGACGGCAGTGGCGACGAACTTGAAGCTTCGCAGCATAGCAACTCCGTTTGACGGGCTGATGGCCTGCAGATTCCAGCCTTCGTCTGTGGCATTCCTCTGCCAAGAGCTACCCGCCATCCAGGCGCAGGTGTGGTCAACAAAATCACAAGACAGCAGGTCGGCATCCCAGACTGCAGGACCGCCTCGAATGGCATCGACATCCACGTTACCACCTCCTAGCCCACCATAGCCTAAGAAGCGCACGGCCTGTGCTTCTCTTGGGAGCACTATAGCAGCCAGCTGCCATTCGTTGGTGTCTGTTCCATTTGCGGACCATAATGAAGTCCAGCTGGTACCGTTCCACGACTCCACAAGTAGCACCAGCACTGTCGGGGCATGGACATCGTAGCGGTAAAAGAAGCTCAGCTGCCTCTCGTCACCGGCCTGGAAGTAGCCGCTCTCAAGGCCGAGGGCCTCAACACACTTCTTGCAAAATTGCGAATACTGTTATGACCATTATTGCGACCACTGCTACCATTGTCAGTACTGGTATGTTATTTTTGTTGATTATTGCCGCCGGGCTCGAGTTTATGAAGAAATTGACTCCCCCTGCTGCAAGTGCTTGTTGTTCTCAGTAAGAATACTGTGAGTTTGCTGAGCAATGCAGAACAGAGTAAGGAAGCGCTCACTTCTTTTTACTCGCGAAGGATGCTTGAAGTCGGTGCGAGGCAATGCGATGCCCAGTAACAGGAGGAGCGGGGCAGTGCGTTGCCGAGCTCTTTTCCCCCGGGTTGTGGAGGGTGGGTGAAAAAGCTAAAATCGGAAGCGATCCGGGTCGACAGCTTGAGCTAGCAGTGCGGCGCAAGGCGAAGCAATGCAAGCTCAAGTACTTACCGAAAACACTGTCGACCAAAACAACAAACTCACGACAAGCGTTCTCAGTAAGAATACTGTGAGTTTGCTGAGCAATGCAGAACAGAGTAAGGAAGCGCTCACCTCTTTTTACTCGCGAAGGATGCTTGAAGTCGGTGCGAGGCAATGCGATGCCCAGTAACAGGAGGAGCGGGGCAGTGCGTTGCCGAGCTCTTTTCCCCCTCTTTAGTTCGACTTCAGCATCCTCTGCCTCGCGGGCTCAGAATCCCCCCTCGCACGAGGATGTAGAAGGAGACCTGTCGAGGCGGACATGGAGAAGCAGTAAGAGCCAGAGCACAAGGCGTGCGGGTGGCAAAGCTCTGATGCAGAGTTTTTTCCGGTTCACGACGGTGAGCGAATCAACGCAGTAGGCTGCGCTGTGCCTCGCAGAGGCGAGGGGGGAAGGTGTTCTCCTCCCCTCGAAGTGAAACTGTGTGCGAAGCAGATGCGAGCTGCGCTAGGCTGATGCGAACGCGTTCGGCACTGCGGTGCTTAATGAAGGCCAGGCGTCCGCGGCTGAGGGCGTCAGCCCACGTGTTCTTTTCGCCGGCCAAGTGCTCGACTTGGAACTGGACACGGTGCAGGTGCGCCCAGGTGGCGGCAAGGCGCAAGAAGGTGCTGAGCGGTTCTGTTGTCGTAAACAGGCGGTTGACGCCACTCTCAGCAGAGGTGTTGTCGCTGGCGCTGGGAAGCACAAAGCGCGTGTGTTTATGCCGAAGGAGAGCCCATGAGCAATGGGCGAGTGCAAGCTGTGCCAATGCCTCGAAACATGCTATGTAGCTTTGCATGGAGCCGTGCAGTTGAGGCCACTCGGCTCGGACTTCGTCGGCGGTAAAGATCTCGCTGTACCAAACAAAGTGTGATGAAGTGCTGAGCCAGCCGCCGATGCCCATTCGGTCAGTGTCGGCGAAAGCGTCCGCGGCACTCATGCAGGGCGCGACGGGAGGAGTGCGGAGGCTACGTGGTTGCTCGTGCTTAAAGCAAAGCTCTAGCCAGGCGAGGCAGAATTTGCTGTCTTGTTTAAGGTGAATTTCTGTGCGATTAGGGTCAGCCAGGCGGACCCACTGGTGCTTGTGGGAGGGCGGAACGCGGGGCACGTCAGACTTAGAATGTATTTTAATAGATCCAACCTCAAGAAGCTGTGCATTGCGAGGCAGCCAGGAGCCAAGAGGCGTGGAAGAAAGCTTGGCGGTGTTATCAAGGCACTCATAGAAAGGCGCCCAAGCCTGCGGGGCGATGCTGTGGAGGGTTCCTGCACTGCTATGCAAGTCTTTATAAAGGCATGACATGAAGGAGCGCATGTGCGGGCTGAGAGTGGTAGCCCAGTTGAGCAGTCCGAGGCACGCTTCCAGATCCTTTTTGAGGATTTTGGTGGCAGTGCGAAGCTTGCGGAGCTGTTGGCGGAGTTTTTCCAGTTTGCTCTGGACCAAGGCGACGGTTTCTGTGCGGAAGCAAAAGGTCCAGCCGCACCAAGTGATTTGATCACCGAGCTGTGCCTTTTTCCAGCTGATGGGTGCGTGGAGCGCGGCAAGCAGTGCAACGATAAGGGCGACCGGCTGGTCGAGCTTATCACGCAGGAGCGCGGCGAGGATGTCGTCAACGTAGAGCCATGCTTTGTGCGGGTATTTGCAGAGCAGTGAATGCAGGATGCGCAGGATAAGGGATCCTGTCCGTTGCCACCAGTATGCAGAAAAGCGGGCGCCGAAGTGGCAGACGGTGTAATGATAAAGCTTGTCGGCAATGCGAAAAAGCAGAGTGCCCTGCTCTGCGGGGCGAACTTTTTGTGCCTTATGTGCAGCTTTAAAATCTAGGGAGAGGCCTTGCAGACGAGCAAAAGGATCGGAGGCGAAGAAAGTGCGTTGCACATCGAGGGCGCTTGGCATGGATACACGCTCTGGTAAGTGCACAGAAGAGTTTAACCCACACACCGAACTATCTAGTACTAGGCGGGGATCTTTGCCGTCTGCATGAACTATATTAAGTTTGCCGATAGCGGTGCCTAGCGGCCAGTGCTTTGCGGCATCTTCTGCGGAGCCGTGGAAAGGCGCAACGTGTCCCGCCGAAATTTCTTGGTCAACCAGCTGCTGAAGCAAGGTGGGGTCGCGTTCAGCGGCGGTCCAATTTCCCGCGCAGTGCTCAAGGCGGTGCGGGTCAAGATCAGACGACGTATCAATGTTTTGCGGAGCGGAAGGCCAGAGGCCGCTGGGCGGCAGCGGTGAGAAAGCGCCAGTGGGCACGCCTTCTTTGAGAATTGGCACGAGGCCGGTGTCAGGATCGTCAATGGCGCGCGCGAGCATTTCAAGGATCTCGAGGCGAAAGGGCTGGCCTGGTTCAATACGCAGAGCTTCGGCTGCGGGCATGTGCCGAGCAAGGTGAAGTCTAATGATTTCTGCAAGCACGGAACCATGTTGTTCCGAGAGGGGCGGTTCTGGCAGACCCGCGTGCAGATGAGCAAGGATGGGCTTAAGGAGTTGTTCTTGACGCAGATATTCCAGCATGGATTGCGCAACCGTAGCTAGAGGGGTGCTGGGCTTATTGGTGCAATGCATGTGGTCAGCGGAGCTGACATTGCCCGCACCATCGCAAACAGGGGAGCGTTTGCAGTGGAAAGTGGATGCTCCTAGGCTGTGCAGTGCGTGCAGGGGCAATGGAGCAGAAGGCGACTGTGACGTCACATCTGTGGTGCAGAGGGAAGCCAAGGAATGCAAATCTGGGATGCCGTCCGAGTGCAGTTTGCTGTGCAGGGAACAGCTAACCCCTAGGAGCATGCGATGAGGCGAGCGCGTCCATGTGCACGTGGCGGCGAGTTCTTGGGCAAGTTGCAGGTACATGTCAAAAATGTCTTCCGTGGAGGGCTGCGGGAATGCAAAGATGACATGTGCACCTTGAAGGTGGGCAGCGCGATGCAGGGCGCAGAGACTGCGATGGAAAGATGCTGAATAGGAACTGGTGTCGCCCAGAATGCATAGCACTGCGAGGGTGCCAGACCAAGCCGCTCCCTGCATGGAAGCTAAGACGTCCGGATGCCAATGACCTTCCGAGGTTTGCAATGCGGGTGGAGAAGCGAATCTGTGCAGGGACTGATTGATTTGCTTGGCATCCTGGAAAAGGTCCGGCGGCCAAAAAAGGAGATAGCGGGCTGGAGGGGTGCAAGTGGAGGCAGCCGAGGTTGGAGCGAGGCCAGCGGAGTCACTGTCAGCAGACTCTGAGGCATCACTGGCGGACGGGTTGCTATCCTGTGGGGAAGGCTGGGCAGGTTTGTGAGCTAAGGCAGGCGAGGCAGGGCAGGGCGGCTTAGCAACCTGAGCTTTAGGGGGGCTGCGGGATCTAGAACCACTAGGTGAGGTGCATGGGGAGGCTGAGCAGGATGCGCAGGAGAGCGAGAGAGGCGAAAGGCTGCGCTTGTTCCGGGCTGCGGGCAAGAGATTGCTCCCGGATGCGATCTCCTGCGGTTCTCAAGACGGACTGGGCTTTTCCACTTTGTGGTTGCACGCTGCATGATTTTTGCCGCAAGGCTGGCCGGAGGGCAGTTTAAACGCGCACTTGTGTTCAAACTTGCAGTTCTTGTTTGTGCAATTGCCCTTGTTGAAGCGGATGCAGAGAGTCTTGTCGCCAAGTTTGGTGGCGAGCGGTGCGGTTTGCTGGTTGCCTGAGTTGGGAGTGCGGGGCTGTTTGCCGGGCTGTCGCACGCCTTTGCCGTTTGCTTTGCCGCCTTTACCGCGGATGCGGTCTTCCCTGGTGGGGCGGAGGGGCGGTGCGGGTGGCATGGGCTTGGCACGAAGTTGCAGTAGGGAACTGATGTCCGAGCGGACACTAGTGATTTCATGCAAGGCGTCATCCAGGGACCACCCGGAGCTGTGCAGTGCGGCAATCTCTTCGGCTACGAGAAGCTCTTGCGTGGTAACGGTGCGTAAATGCAAGTCTGGAGCAACGGTTTGCGTTGCGAGGTCGAGAACCTTTTTGTCAAACGCCTTCAAGCGCTGCAGGTGCGCTCCGTTGCATATTGCGATGGCGTTGCGAAAGACTGTTTGCACGCGTTGCAACCAGGCGGAGCTGAGGCGAAGGTGATCGACAGCCATTTCGGGCGTGTCGTCGAAAAATGCGGTGCTGATGAGATGCGCTTCAGTGCGGATTTGCTTGGTGGCCTTGCTCTGTATGATTTCGTCATACTGCTTTGCAGACAGGCGGAGCTGCCATGGGATCCAGGTGATGGTGTGTCCCGGTTGAAACCACCGATGGACCAGGCTGAGCAGACGAATGCTTGGCATAGCGTCGCTGTCGAGGTGTTCGCCGGGAAAGGCGTCCTTAAAGGCTTGCACCAGGCGTTGCACGGCAGATTGATCAAGGCGGGGCGGGGCGTGTTCTGCCCAAGAGTTTGCGGGGCTAGGGGCGACGGGTGCAAAGGCTTGCTGTGCTGGTTGCGATTGTGGCGGCGTTGGTGCTGAAGCGGCTTTAGCCTGCTGCAGAGCCTTGCGGAGGCGAGCCATGGCAGGGGAGATGCGGGGCACAGGTGCATCTAGCTCAAGCCAGATATGCGCATAGTCGTCGCCGCAGAAATGATCCAGATCGGCTGTTTCTGAGAAGGCATATGCGAAATCCGACACAGATTCGATGCCGGTGCTGCGC